TGGAAAATGACACCTTTACGATTGACCAATTCTGGTCGCTTTTCCTTGACCGCTGCATTCAATTTGTCCAGTTGCTAACATTCACGGATAATAAAAAATAACATAATAATAATAATAATAATAATAATAATAATAATAATAATAATAATAATAATAATTTTATAATATAACATTTACGGATGTCATAAAAATGGGAGTGAGATATATCTATAACTAAAATCGGCAATTACTTAGTTGCCAACCCAATAGAAACGACGGTTGTCGTTTTGTTGCGGTTGTCGCTAGACGTTGCAAGTAACAAATAATGGCGAATGAATTCGCGGGTCTCGATTTAGGTGACAGGCGAGCATTTGACAACGAGGAAAGAGAGATACGAATCGAATGCACCGAACTCAATACCATTTTTTTGTTTTCAATGACACGCGCAATCCGCGCGGGAAAAGGGTAATATCCGGTGAAATATTGAAACCTTTCAAAAGCCGTAGGTAGCCGCAACGTCCGCCGTTTGCCCGTGCTTTAAATAAACCGAGCAACGTTCGATTCGTTATTGTTCGTTCTCGCGTTGCCATTAAAACTCGCGCGCGTTAGCCCGTTTCCGTGGTATCGCGCGATCATTCAATCGGCGCCCGGCAAATTATTTAAAGGCTGAAAGAAACTAACAGATCGAGCAAATCGCGTTGATGTTCTCTTTGACGCAGGTGGCGCCGATTTTTATCGCTTTCGCGGTGGTGCTCGGGTTGTAACTAATTTCCGACCGCAGCCCGACGTCGGCCAACGGGGTCCGGTTCAAAATGTAGCCGACGATGATCGTCCCGTCCAGCGTCCATTTCTCTAGAAACGTCCCGTATTCCTGTGTCTTGTATTCTGCACCTGCGGTGCCAGACAACTGCAATTACGAAATTAGAAATAACTGTTCTGAGCTCGAATAACGAACGCGGAAAGTCACTCTGCTTCGTCGACAAATAACAATACCGTGTGTTTGGACATCGTTGAAAATTAAACCAGCGAGTGTACGGAGTTCCAATTTTTTTGGACTTTTTCGTCAAGCATCGTGGAATATACACGAATTTTTTGGAACGCGAATAATACGCTCAAAATCGCAGAACTTTTTATTAAAGTGTTCGTTTCGACGAATTTGTTTGAAGTTTTTGTAATTTGATAAAACGTAATGCGAATTCCGACATTATTTTAAACTGAATTGGTAATTACAACCGATCGAAAGTTTGTTGATTTGTTCGTCGATCCTCGCAGAGTATAAAGGAATTTTTAACACAGAAATAGTAATTAGATGAGGAATTATAGCATTTCTATTGAAGCAACTAAAAAATCTCGCTTTAACAATCGTCGGTAAAATGTAACACGATCATTGAGAATGTTTTAAAAAATAAACCGTACTTACAATTTACCCTTCGTAGATTTGTTGGTAATTCTCAGAAGAATATATGGGATATTTTTCGCGTGCAAATAACATACAAAGCACGTGTGGAGAAATGGCAAAATAGAGAGACCTGCCAGGGTTCGCATTTATTAAATCATGCACACACATCTGCAAGCCCTTGTCTTTGACAGATTTTCTCAAGCGTATAAAATAAAGTCGTTTGAACGCGAATTTCATTTATTCACAAAATATGAAAATAATTCACATAAATTGAATATTCCGTAAAACGTTTCGCAAGCATCAACGTCAACACTAATTACACACTAATTGCATACTTCTTAATAAATTAGAGTGAAATTGGCCTCTTACTTTTTTCGTGTCACAATCCAGTGACAAGTCACTGTTCATATTCAAAGGCTCGCCAGCTTTGGTGCAGGTCAGCTTGACCAGACTTTTGCCATAGTGATAGCCTGTTCTGAACACATTCCTCGCACTTTTTCCCAGATCCGAGAAACTCGGCACGCTCATGATGCATGAGCCGATTCGAGTAGGTCAACGACGAATCACAAAATAGGAGATGATCGGATTAGCTGCAAAATATGGGCATTTTTATTCTGAACCAAAAATAATTGCTGTTCCCCTATGTGCAATTGCACATTACATTTTTTTTTGTAATTGCAGCGCCGTGTTACTCAATGAATGCTTAATTAGTTTACGTCGAGAAATTGGGATTAATAAATACAGCAACTTGTTGACATAATTCGACGCAGTGAAGAATAACGAGCATTGAAGTGCATTAACTCTGAGTCGTTTAAGGTATTAAAAGGTTTAAGATCTGCTTATAAGAGAGGATCATTTTGTATCTAAATATTATATTTTCTGTTCGAGGTATATTTATTTATACAATACTGTTGAACCATTCATTTGGGTACCTGTAAAAATAAGATATAAAAAAATTATTTAAAAAAAACATCGTTAAAACAACAATACGTATTTAAAATTCCGCGAACATTTTTTGACCCTCCCTTAAGTATGCTGTGATTAACAGACATTAGCAGTCTTTTTCACGCGTTTATAGGCTTTAGTATTGTACTTTATCGCGTCCAGGTTGCAATTGCATTACGAGATGTTCACATATAGGGGTTAAGAAAGATTTACCAGGCTGCAACGTTGATGATTCCGATCTCGACGACGATTAACGCGACGATCCATCCGACGGCGTGAAACATCGCCGCCCTTTACCTTCGCCAAATCGGTGAATAGCTCGCCGAAATCACGGAGGATATTCTAGTCAACAAATCCTACTTATCAGTTTTGACAGGGATCAGTCGATAACACGGCCACTGACGTTTCTCGCGATTTGGACATCGGCGAACATTACGAGCTCCGTCGTGGAAGGCTGCGATTTCACAATGTCGCTGGTCTTCGAATTTGTTTCGTCCGTGATGCAAGCTGACGTGTCCGATGGCTCTCGTTTCCACGCGAGCAATTAACCCTGGGGAAAATCGAGACCAGTAGCAGAGAAAGAGAATTCTCCGATATATGTGTACAAATATATTCACATTCTAATATATAAGTATAATTTATATATATATATATATATATATATTTATTATTTTATTNTTGTTTCGTCCGTGATGCAAGCTGACGTGTCCGATGGCTCTCGTTTCCACGCGAGCAATTAACCCTGGGGAAAATCGAGACCAGTAGCAGAGAAAGAGAATTCTCCGATATATGTGTACAAATATATTCACATTCTAATATATACGTATTATTTATATATATATATATATATATATATTTATTATTTTATTATATATTATTAATATTATTTATATATATATATTTTACACTATTATATTATTATTGTCTTATCTTAATTATATATATACACATAATATACATAATATAATAATATAATATATATATATATATATATATATTTATTATATTATTATATTATATTATATTATGTTATTCATTGCGAGTTAATATTACCAGGTTCAGATTGCAAATAATAATCGACAACGGCTATTATCGAGCAATGTAATCACAATGACGATGATTTATTATACAATCGCAGAAGATTAAAAAAGGTTGAGTCCGAGAGAATAACACATTTTCCTGTCACTCTCAAGAGAACCATTAAAAACAATGAAAGAAAATATCAGTTTCTAAAAAAAAAACGAATATATTAATGATTCTCTCGAGAATAACAAGAAAATGAGTAATCCTCTCGAACTCAATCTTTTTTAATCTTTTCCGTAAGCGAGCTTGCGATTAATCCGGAGAAAAATTAAGACTCGTGACTGAGAAACTTTTCTGCCGCGGACACGTTCAGTGGAATCGAGGATGATGGAGAATATCTCTTTGAAATTTTAATTTTTCTCTTGTTGGGATTTCATTATGTTCCTCGTTTTTCGAAGCGAATTTCTAATTAGCTCGGGGGAAAATTAAGTCCAGAGATTGGGGATAATTTGTTCCCGTTTCGATCGATGAAAGAACAATTTTTGTAACTTCGATAGCAAAATCGTTTTTAATTATAATGTCATCGCTCGCGAACAGGACCATCGAATGTGTCAGAGTTTAAGTGCGTAATTATCACGATATCGACATCGATTTCCCAATTGTCGACAAATGGCGCCCGAGCCCCGGTTATTATTCCCCACCGATTAACTGGTTTCCAGATAGCCAATGGAAGGCTTAAATTCGTTCCACAGGTAAACCGGAATTGATAGTCGCCATGGTGAAAATAAAACGGTCGTTTCGAACGGGCGGAAAAAGAACATCTCGACGTACCGAAATATCGGGAACAATAAATTTCATTGAACAATTGATCAAACGTATTTAGAATTCTGTACAATTTGGATCGACTCGCTTCGATGTACCTGCAGTTTGACTGCGCTGACGCGTTTGGATTCTAATGTCGCTTTGAAAATTATGCGCCTGAATCTTTTGTTATGAACAATGTTACAAAAGATGTAAGTCTGAATATTTTATTGGAACAACAATGAAATTATAAGCCTGAATATTTGATAATAACAAAGGAATTATAATTTTATTGGAGTAACGTCAAAGTGAGTTAGACCTTGAATATTTTATTATAGCAATATTAAAGAACTTATAAATCTTATTGGAACAATGTCAATGAAATTATAAGCCTGAATATTTGATAATAACAAAGGAATTATAATTTTATTGGAGTAACGTCAAAGTGAGTTAGACCTTGAATATTTTATTATAGCAATATTAAAGAACTTATAAATCTTATTGGAACAATGTCAATGAAATTATAAGCCTGAATATTTGATAATAACAAAGGAATTATAATTTTATTGGAGTAATGTCAAAATGAGTTAGACCTTGAATATTTTATTATAGCAATATTAAAGAACTTATAAATCTGAACATTTGATTAATATCGAAGAAATTCTGTACATGAATACTTTATTGGAGCAATATCAAAGAAAGTTAGATTTCGAATATTTTATTATAGTAATCTTAAGAAACTTACAAGTCTGAACATGTTGTTAGAGCAATATCATTAGATCGTCGATCATATATTATTAGAACAATATCAATAAAATTGTAGCCCTAAACATTTTATTAGAGCAATATCTAAAAAAGTAACGCCTTGAATATTTTATTGGACGAATGTCAAGAATTTGTTGAGATATTGAATATTTTATTGTAGCAACGTAAACGAACTGTAGTCGTAAAAATATTAGAACAATATCCAAGAAATTCAAAGAAATAAAGATTATGTGGCTAAGAAAGTCCGCGTGCAAAAATCAATTCCACGAGGACACTAAATAATAAATTCGCAGATCTCGTTTTTCAGCAACTGCGAAACCCAAGGACAAAGTCTCTTCTGCAGACTCTCCCAGCAGACTCGTATTGATACATTGTCGCTGCTAAAGTTACACCCGCGAGTGTCGACAAAGGCGGGAGCCCGACGGAAACGTGGAAAATCCAGCTCGTTCGTCGCGATAAAAACCGAATTACAATGGGAACAGAAAGATTTCCCGGGGATCCGTCAGGATTGATCTTCCAATACGTCGCGTAGTGGCGGGCTTATCCGGGGATCGTATCGATCCTGGGCCAACAATGTCGACGTCGGACAGATTTTACGTCCACGTTCTCGAGATCGACGAGTTCTCGACCGCGAGGGAGTGGATCTACTCGAGACTGCAACTTTGCAACATTGTCCGGTCGTTCGTGCCTCTTAAGGCGATGTTCCCCCCCGGTTCGGTGGCTCGACTTTGACGTATACGTACAGACGTCTCCGAGTTCGAAAAACTTCCGAGGAAAACTGCCCCGGCGAGATTGCCAGAAAAAAAGAAACTTATCAGTTCGATGCTTCTCGCAGCGAGTTAGGCGGATTCTATCGAAACTCTCTTGGGCATCGATTACACGGAGTGTCTCGGTTATTTGTGGCGGAAACCATGGGAAAAACTTTGTCGACGATGCGGCACAACGATCTTTTTGTTTGGCAAACCAGAGGCTAGTTTATCTAGAATCGATCTGATCGGGGATTTTTATGCATCTGCACACTCTTGCCACGAGGCACACCTTTACACGGGATCAAATGTGATAATTGGAACGCGATTTCAGAATGTTGGAGGCGTTTATTGGATTATTTGAATATTCATTAATTAACGTTTGTAGCTCGCAATTATTCGAACGATTTTGAACTATTTTCATTTGATACAACGTACGTGTTCTTTCATTATTCGAGGAAAGAGACGACTAAACGAATATGAATATGAAAATAACAAAGCACTCGAAGGCGTTTATTCTCGTTAAAGGGTCGAAGGAATGCCCCGAGGCTCGTTAAAGTTTCCTATAGGGAAATTTATTAAAGGGAAACGCTGCTGCCACCGGCATAACCTGGCATTACCGGAAATTAGGCTAACACATGAGACGTCAGTTCGCGGCGATGCCGACTAATTCGTATAATGGGTGCCCCGATGCAACGGGATTCACTTTGACCCTAATCTCCGTTCGTAAGTCTGCTTCGAAGATTACCGAGTCCTTATTGGGTCGTAGGACGTTTAAAAGATTGATTCAATTGAGGCCAGAGAACGTATCGACTAAAAGGATGACCGTCGCTGTCATAAGTTCTTGGAAACCGTATTTTACATCCCCACAGAGTAGGTTGCAAGCAACTTCCCGAGAAAAGTCTTTTTCTATCGTTCAGGAATAAAAGTGCTCAGAAGTTTCTTCCATTTATGCTTCTCAATGGAAAGGCAAGATTACCATTTCTGATACAGAGCACGTAATATTTACTACGCAATAAATAGTTTCAACCGGTCGATTTATTACGAACGTCGCATAGAAACAAAGTTATAGTGGTTATTAGACCGCAAATTTTTCGCGAATAATCAAAACTGTCTACGTTAATCGTAAGAAACGTAATGCTGATGAAAATGTCTTTCCTCTTTTATATAATTGTAATAAGTCGAGTAATTATTAAATATTTAAATATATATTATTTATTAAATATATATTTAATAGAATAATATTTTTTTATATTAAACAAAATATTAAATATATATTAATCATTAACATATAAGTAATAATTCGAATGGATTTGTTTACCTTGTTTGTGACCTCATTTTTGTCGAGAGTGCGTAAAATCGTCGTCTGAAATACAGATAGAAGATCCGATGCATTTTTTACAGAAATAACACAAGCGAAAGTTTTCAAGCATTTGTGTAAAAAATGATGGACTCATACACAGATAAGAAAGTTTGTGCACTTTTGACGAAAAAAGATGAGCGAAGTACAGATGAAAGGTTTTACTCATTTCTGACGACAACAATTGAGAGGATACAGACGAAGACAAATTTTGGAAAATTGAAAAATATCGTTTTTCAAGTAGATTCGTAGATTCAAGAATTTACGAATACAGGCTTCGCTTGTTTGGCGAGCGTTAATTTTGCAGTACGTGCGCCGTTTTATTTGCAATACTGCGAAAATACCGCGCCGCGTTTCGAACAATTGTGCTTCGGGGATGCTCGCATGTCGGCGAAATCACTGATAAATTTATTCGCGCGTTCGTGTCGCGCGTTCACGGTCCCGTCCACGTGCCTGTGCCGTCGTCACGATAATCGTTGGAAAATTGTTCACCTACACACTCTCCCCGTTGCTCGCGTTTCCGATTACAATCTTTAACACGGGCAGAAGTCACGACATCGAGATTACATTTGCGTTAACACTGATCGCATTCGCGCGGCACTTCGTGCGACCGCATGTCCTACGTGATTTTAAAGGGAAAAGAACCACGTGAAAATAATCTCTTCTCTTGCGACTCGAAAATGAATCGTCGATTTCATCCGTGCTCAAAATTAAATGTAAACCACGCGAAATTAAAAGTGCTGCGTGTTACAATCGGAATTTGAAAGTCGATCTTTAAAGCCCCGCAACTTCGAGCGAAAAAGATCGTAAAATGATTTTATACACAGATTGTCAAAGTGGGGAGACTCGCCCCTTTAAAATGAGCAGAAGCAGAACGTCGTACGATTTTTTTTTTTAGCAAAGTTACGGGAGCTCGAAATACAATTTCGCTGTTGCGTTTTTTTTTTAACTTTGTGGGGTAGTTTATTATCACAATTGATCTGGCACAGTTCTAAAATTAACACGTTCGTGACTATCGTTTCTTTCGTTATCTATCTTCGTTGCTGGAATAACGTATTAAACGCAACGTATCTCTATCATGAAACGTTAAAACAATTCAGCAAAACGAAGTCGTAGGCTTTATGACTTTAACCCTTTGCAGTCGAAGCTATTCGAATTCGAAATCCAAAACATGATTTCTGATCTACAGTATTTCTATTTTATATAATTTATTGCGATTCATGCGTATGAAATTGAGCCTGTTGGCAAGTACAATGCGATTTTAATAGTTTTTTTTTAAGTATAAAAGAGTCTGATGCTCTTAGAATGATTTTGAAAAATAGTATACCAAATTTTAGTGGCGCCTCAGAGTCGCCATTCGAGTGCAAAGGGTTAACATTAGACCTATCGAGCTCTAAAAATGTCGTGTCACTGCACTAGACTAACAAAAATGTATTCATTTACATTTTTCGCCATTTTCATTGCTGTGTAAGCAATTTATCTCGTATAAAAAATGACAGACTGATCGTTTTGTCCGGTACGGTTGGTTCAATCTAAAAACACCACGTGCAATCAAATTGATTTATATACTTTTACGTAAACGCTGAGATCGTAGACGACGTGTGTAACCTACGTGCGATCATGTTCGTGAGCGTGTTAGTACTTAAAATCTTGCAAAAAAAGAACTGTGCATCAGTCTCGTTGATTAAACAACAAAGTAGGTAAACGATTCATTTGAGAGCGAAACTTGCTGCGACTGGACATTCGTGGAAGTTTCATCATACTGAAACAAGCTCCCAAAGGTGACATCCGCGAAGCTTATTGTCTCTATAAAAAAATCTCGACGGATCCGAGATAATACGCGAACGTTGTCGGAACATATATTTACAATGTTCCGCATGATCAAATAACGCATGGAAACGCATAAACGTCTGCCGCGTCGACGATCTGGGGATCGCGCATCCGGCAGGTGATACAGGTGCAATAAAACACTCGAGACACCGGGGAAAAGAAGCGGACATCAAACGCACGTGTTTACTGTTCATTGACACGTACCTTTCGGAAGGCATTGTGCAGCATCACAAAGGCTTCCAGCAACAAAGAACGCCTGTTATCTTTTGGTATATTTATGACAATACATCGCCAGCAATATTAGAACCTGTGTGCCGTCGTCGTCGCCGTCGCTGGGACGGAATCAATAAGGCAATTTTTATCGCAAACAAGCCGGCCACCGTCGTCTGAAAGCCTTTATCTAGCCGCCGTGAAAAGGTTTCAGCTCGTTTCTATTCCGTGGATCGCGTACGCTGTTACAAATCCCCAGTCCCGTGGGACGAAGATCATTTTGTTGGTCATCGTAAAAACTGCCAACTTTTATCGCTAATCGCTAGAATCTGGAATAACTGAAGGAACGTAAATTTATTTTATGAAGTCTGGCGATGCGTAGTCTCTATCTTCGCAGATAGAGCAACTTTTCTAAAATTAGTACCAAGTACAGTAAATTCTCCGTAATTGACTCTCAGCTTGGAAACAAAAATGGACAATTTGGGAATCGGTAACTATAAAAAGGAGCCGCAAGGCTCGAATAATGGTATCTCCTCTTCCCAAATTGTCCATTTTTGTGTACAATCGGAGCGTTAATTAGGCAGAATTTACTGTAATTCGAGAGCATTTTGTGATGCTAGAAGGATTAGTTTAGTAGCTGTTGCATGAAAACATTTTTTAGAAAATTTCCTCTAGTGGAATCTAGGAATCCGTTAATTGTAGTTGGAGAACTGCGATTTTTATACTTCTTTAACCACTTCTGGCTAAAACAAATTGACTAACTGAGACACCAAACTGTGAATACAGAAGAATGGTTTAAGATAGCTATCGTGCTCTTTTTTAATTTCGCGAAATTATTGACAGTAGAAATTTAGCTAAATAAAATTTAACCTAAATTCTGTTTCTGAAAATCGACTTAGAATATTTTTATTTTGCATAAAAAAGATCGTGCGCAATTAATGTGGCAGAACTGCAGACTTCGAATGTGCTCCTGCTAAATTGACGATTGTCCAACTTTTTAAAACGAAATCGCCAGCAAATTCGGTCATTTCGGTCAAATTCGAAAAATGTCGACAGCGATAACGAGTCCGGTACTAAAGTGGCGAACCCTTTGACGCCGGACGGTCGAGGTTTGCTTGGTTCAGACTGTGGTACCACCTTTTCGGAGCAGTTCGCGCGGAATGAAGTGAAATGATAACTCATTCGCTGATGCAAAGCGGTGTTCCCGCGGGTTGCAGCTGGTGCTGGCTGCTAACTAGCGCATAAGTTTCTAACTGTGATTCACCGTAGTTGGCTCCCTTCTACCCCTCGCGGAACGATTCGACAAATTTCCAATTAACGGCATTTCCCCGCAGCTTCGCGCGGAATATCTCTGTTAGACGCCAGTTTCCCACTCGCCGAGTTTTTGCTACTTGACCCCGACGAACTCGAAAGTTCGTTCGCGTCCATCGAGGACAAGTATTGTATTATAACGCGCGGTCCTTTAGATTGGACACTGCGCTTTTTAATATCTCGTTGCGTTGTTATACTCTTCGCAGTAATTGTGATTCCTTTGACTTTCAACATTTTCGAAAGTTCGAAGAAAGTTCGATGATTTCGGGCGACGTTTGTCTGTGAACGATTAATTCTTTGGGACGGTTTTAAGATGCGTGGAAAGTTTCAATAAGGAGCAGAAAATCCCAGCGACATTAGGAGAAATCCTCCAGAGCTGTTCTTGTGCTTTCGAACGGACAGAAGCCGTACTGGACGCAGCTGTTAAGCAATGCCTTGACCTAGAAGTGCCGGCACTTTGTTTAAACACAATGGAAAATATATGTCTTGCATACAACCTTCGTTAATAGAATCTGTACACACGTTAAACGTTAAGAAAACGAAATTAAGAAAAAAAAAACTCCACTTGGATCGCTTCTAAAGGGACTTCTAATATTCTCGAATAAGGAGACAAAGTTTCGTAAAAGCGTTCCTGGTAAAACTATCGCAACTTCGAAACGTGATTATCAATATCACACAAAAGATTCCTGTATACTTTCGAAACATGCACGAACAAGATCGCACAGATTAAACCGGATGTATTCATCAATTTCGTGAATAAATTGCCATGGTATCGTAAAAATTGAAGGATCTCCGCACTCGTCCCAGTCGAATGACTACAACTTCGAACAAAGTGAATATTATTACTCAAAAGACTTCTGTGCACACTCTCTAAATATTCTGAAACATCGTCATCCCGTTACATTCATCACTTTCCTAAAAAAAGAAAACACGAACTCCACCGAAAGATGAAACCTCCGAAACCCTCCCCACGAAACTGCCATAACTCCGAACAGAATGTTTCAGGCTACGCAAAAAAATTCCTGTGGGTACTCCATAAGTGCACAAACAAGATCCCATAGATCGATCCCGATACATTTGCCGGATTTCGTCAGAAAAAAAATGTCGAAGCACCGCATTAATTTCGTGAAAGTCGGAAGAGCTATTTAGCCGAAGATGGATGACTTCTCGTTAGCTTTTCGCTGATGAACGACGAAGAACAGGGGGACACGATTGCTTGTGTAGAGAAAGAGAGGGAATCTAGATGAAGTAGATCGGGTGATCGTCGTAGGGGGAGAGATGCCCTTTACAAGGAACCGTATCAATTGACAGAGTTAATTTTTCCTGTTGCAGCCGATGCTTGCTGAAACGAAACGCGGCGGCGCCGGTGGGGCCGAAGAGGGTGAAACCGAGGATGGCGTGGAATATTACAGGCTGAGATCGTTTTCTATAACAGCGAACGGGGTCTACAACCTCGGCGATTCGTTGAAGAGCCGTCGTAGCAGGAGCATCAACAGTGTCACATCCTCCGGCACTAGCTGCAGCAGCACCAGGGAGGCGAGATTGCTCAGGTGAGAATTAATTAACCGATGGCTAACTGTTTACCCTCTGTCGTTCATCGACGCTGTCCCCGCACTCGCTCAATTATACTTAATCATTTTCGATCCGCGCCGCGCCGATCGGCTCGTTAGAAATTAGTGACGCGCCGATGAACGCGTCGGACCGCCCTCGATCACCTCAATTTTTCGATCAAAATTCCATGTTAACCCTTCCCACTCGACGCCGTTTCAACTCTACAAAAATAGTTCTCCCGATCTACAGTATTTCCCTGTTACACGATCCATTGCATTTTATTCGTACGAAATTGAGTATTGTGACCGATGGAACAGTTTCTTTTAATGCTAAACCTGCCGAACATTTAGAGTGAAAGACGTGTGTAGCTTCGTAAGAATGACGAGGCTGAATGTATTTAAACTTGAAAGAGTCTTCATCATTTCAGTAATTTTTAGAAAGGGTTAACTGGTTCGACGACATTGCATTTTATAGTGTCAATATATCTTTGTGCAAATGTAAAGCCAACGAAAACATTGAAACAATTTTAGAAGAAACGTGGGTAAGTAAAAGTGACCGTGGATATTTGTGCAAATTAGGATTTGTCTACGAGAGCTAAAACACAAGTTTTAGTGCGAGGTTGAATATTCATTTTTGGATCACCCTGCGACGATATTTCTAAGCAGAAATATATCGGTTTTGTGGAATTTTGGTGAATTGTGTGGTAGTTGTACTCTGTGACAAAATTTCTAAACGAAAAGAAGATTTCGTGGAATTTTTGTGACTGGTATAGTAATCATTATTATGATTTATATTTCACTCGTGGATTTATATTTCAATAGTGAAAGGAACATGTATGTATTATATTTAACACGTTTTGCGTGAGCTAAGAGAGATTGAATCACGTTGACGACGCGACTGATCATGAAATAGAATAACGACTTAAAGACTTTTCAATGAATTAATTAGAAAAGTTCGGAAGTGCATACATTTAGGTGCGCCTTGTTTGAAACAAAAGAGCTGTATCGAACAACGTCGGTGAATGAAAACGGCGATACTTAGCGAACTAAAAAATGAATCCGAAGAAGAAAGTAAGAAAACTGATTCAGGATGAGGCGAGTTGCGTGGGAGTAATATTAATGGCGCAACTTCGCCGACTGCGTGGCTCCTGAATGAATAAACACGAAAAGTTTGCGGTCATTGTAATTACACTCTGATCTAGTTGCTCGACCAAACTTGCGCGGAGAAAGACAATCGAATAACACTGTCAACAGCATCGTGAATATCATTTTATGAATCTGTTCGTAAACTTGATCACGGCGCGGATTATATTTTATTAACGATACCAATTAATTTATCGGTGCATAGTTCGCATTGTATCTGGTTTCCGGGTTATTGTAGTTCGCTGAATTGCACAGAAGTTGTGTCATTCCGGATTCATCGCGGGACCATGTAAATTCGTAATATTTTGCACGGCAATTAATTAGTTCACTGTGTTCACAGCGTATTGAAATTGTGAATAAGTGTTGCAAGTTTGATTAGTATGCGCAGGATATTATTACTAATACTATTTGGCATAGAAAATATTTAGAATCGACCTTTAACACGCTTTTCGTTTGGTCAAGATAATACCTAGGTACAATTAATTAAGATTCTACAGACGATTGTTTGGCAAAATCGAGAAGCAGTCGAATAAATTACAGAAGATTGTTGTGCAAGTATATCGTCCTAAACTTGCCAAGTTCTCCGCGCGAGTACAGCGAAACAAAATCGAGGAAATTAAACCGAGACCGGGACGGGATCAAAAGATTTCAATTCTCCCGGGCATTGAACTCTTTGACTAATTAAATTCCGTTTCTTGAGTACTAGAATCGCGACGAAATGTTTCGGCCAGGTTGCCGAAACCTGCACTTACCTTTCTCTAACGGAGCAATTAGCAGCGTCGGCGTAATTGTCATCCAGCTGATTACAGAGCGTGTCTCGAAACGTTGGACGAAACGAATGGTGACATCCAAAATGAAACATGAGATTACTCCTATCAAAAATTGATTTCAGAATAATTTCCATATTGTTCAATCGTTAAACGTTTTTATTCGTTTGATCGTTTATTAAAGTAAAAAGTAAAATCTTATATTACACTTTTAAAAAAAGCTATAACTATAAAAAAAAATGCTAGTAAAACAATTTACGATAATATCGTGCAGCTTAAGTATTCATTCATTCGACAGACCGCCCTATAGTCCTCATTTTATTTATAGTTATTCTTGTCCGCAACAAATTATTATCAATATCCCGAACTTTAAAATTGGTTCTGTCCATTATTTTTGCCATTTTTTATTTTTAAAAGTGAACGAAAAATTCCGTCTTCAATTTTACAGTCTCTAATAAAATTCGTTTCAAACTATTGTAAAAATTAATCCTCAACCGAAAGGTTGACATAGAATTGCATTTTCATCGACACCTTCGAATTTTGCAAATCTTGATCAAGTTTAAATTACATACAATATCGTTCTAATAATTAATCTTGAATAATAGACGAAGAATTCTGTCAATAGTCAAATTACCAAGAAAAATTCTCTCTCATCCGTCGCGAAAACGCCCCTAAAAATGGTACGAAATTTTTCTCACGAAAAAGAATTTTAGTCAGCTTTTGAGGGATCGACCGCGTTATGTATAATGCATAATAAATCTTTACGGCTGGATCCAAATGACCCGGGACCCGTCACGTCGCTGACATTCTTAGTCCAGGGGTTAAAGAGATTAGAGAGCCTGAGGTCGGCTTTCTTTTTCGCGTTTCTCCCCTCGCCTGCCTCGCATAATCTTCCGCTGCGGTGCCCAACGTCCTCGAATCTCGAAAGGTTATCCCGGCCGTTGGGCTAGACGGCCTCGTGGGCGGCTGGATTGCGGCGAAACAAGATGTAATCTCGGCAAGTGCTCTTCTGCGGGGAAAAATTGCGAAAATTATGAAGAACGCTCAGCAGCCCGGCGACCGAGCGGAATGGCATCGAGGTGTAAATGCCTCCGCACGGCGAAAGCCAACCTGCTAATCGACCGATCGAAATCGTCGCCCTATTCTCCGGTTATCCCCCATTATCCTCCGTTACCTGCTAATTTGTTTATTCACACCCTTGCCTTGCAATTATACAGCGACAATTTCTGCAGAATCTTGAAGCGATCGAACTAATGGTATCGCCGGATGAAAATGGCAAATTTTAGGCTTTTTATTTTACCGCTATTGACATTATAAAGATGCTATTGTGGGAAATTATTGGACGCAAGTATATTTATTTTCTCAGGCATAGTTTTATTTAGATGGAATTCAACACGGATCTCTTTTTAATAGACTTTATTTATTTCGATGGAATTTATATCAGAATAGTCAATAATAAATTGCCAGAATAGACAATATAAAGTGGTCCATTTTAATGGTCGAGTTACTGGCAAGATCATAGGAGTCAAGGAACACAGACAATTAAAACGACGAGGAAAATAATAATAAATAAAATATAGTAAAAGATCATGAAAGCAAATAAATGTAAAAAATAACTAGTGATTAGTGAAAAAAGCAGAACCTCTCCGAAATATTTTTCGAAATTAGTGAAAGTGAAACAGCGTATAATAAAAATGGTAAAAATGACGCGAACATATTTTTGTTTTTCCTTTTTGAAAGACTTGTTAAACTATTGACGTTGCGCGACCACGCTGGTTCGAGAGCAGTCACGACTTTTCGAGAATAAAACTTTGCCGGTCAAAGTACTTTTTGCCGAAATTTTTTTCCTGGGCTCGTTGAAGTGCAATTCATACGTGGCCGCACTCACCCGCATGTACTTTTACACGAAACATAGAAAGACGACACGTAACTCGAGAAAAAGACGTGGACGTGAAACGTTTCTGAAAGACTGCGCGTTCGTCGAGTCGAATTTTATTTTACGATAGAAAGAGTAATAAAGAAGCAATGGTAGAGAGAGTTTTCGTTCGGGTTTATTTTCCGAGAAATAAAAAAATGATACCAAGATACGACTAGAATCTGCGAGACTTGCACTACTTTGCGAGACAAATTGCTTCGTTTCTCCTTGCAACAAATATCTTTAATCCCACGCTTTTTGCTTCTCTAATTGTAAACGGTGTTGCAAATGGAAGTTTTCACTCGGTTCTTCCCGTACATAACTCTCCGATGTAACCAACAAAGTAAATTACTTTGCTCGCCATGCTACAATATCATTCAATTCGCTTGCAGCATTCTAAAGGGGACCGACGGAATCGACCGAAAACATTGAATAGGATATTTTACATAAAAATCGCGGTTCGAAAAGTTCATGCGTGTCGAATGATTTTCATCTGAAAATTGTTGAGAGTACACTAAGTACATTCTTTCATCAAACAAACTGCAAATTCAATTAGCGGCTAATTTTTTAATAATAATAATAATAATAATAATAATTTCTTCTCTTTTATGTCATCATGATTACTATCATGGTTATCTTTTCACAAGCAATTTTACATTTGAGAACAGCATTCGAAGGTCGCTACTAATGGACAGAGCTTCTTCTTTCCAATATTATATGAAACTCACGATTTTACTGAGGCATGTACAAAAGCGTTTGTTGTAGAAAAGATTATCCCCCTCGGAAAGGAAGGTGCATTTCGTTTGAAAAAGCTGCTGTCAAAGACGTAATATTATGTTTGAGAATAAATAAATTTTTACTGGTGTACAAGTTCTTTGCTCTCTTGATCCTTTGACTTCAAATTTCTTTCACTGCTACACTAATTACAACTTCTTCGTTAATAAATTCGTACGAAGGTAAGAAAATGTATAGAACCGAACTTCTCAATTTTAGAAATATAATAGAAATTTTAGAAATATAATAATTAAATAAAGTACTTGAATTTTATGAAATTTTTGAGGTTGTCGGCGTGGCAGTCGAAGTGTTAAGCGTATAATTCCAAAAGGGATTACTCTTCGGAAAGGAGAAAGTATTTCGTTAAATAAAAAAGAAATCTGATTTCGTGGAACGCGCTGCGCAGTTTCTACTCGATATCGCGAAATTAGGTTTATTAAATTTCCAACGGCCGTGATGCCAACAGGCTCTCGAAAGCGTCGAATGAAATATCACGTGGAACCGTGACATATGTAATCATCCAGTCAGCTATAAGCTGCTTATTCCACTTGCCGCGACATTTCAGATCCAAGGCCGTGGATATTTTCGCTATCTACCGAAACATCGTGTACCGCATAACACAACAAATTAGCCGATAATTCTCAAAGCTAACGAGGAGCGACGCGCCCCGCCTCCGCTATTACAATAGCGTTTACAGGCGATATAAAAAGACAGGCAAAACCGAACTGCAACAACGACAGCCATTTTCTAAAGTCGGACAAACACAAATCATCCTCCCCTTTATCGCGGCCGACTTCGCTTCTGCCGGTTTTATCTTCCTGCCGTTTTATCTTCCACTTTTATGAAGCTGAAGTGACCTTCGTGAATATAAAATGACGTCAGCTAAGGCTTGCATGAAATACTGATAATGCGAGAGCTTTTGCCACGTTTCAGGCCAGTCTTGATTTACATTTTCTGCTCGCAGCATTCCCCAAATGGAAACGAACTCGAGCGATAACCTTTGCGTTTTACCAATTGTCACCTGTTCGCAGCTGCCGCTGCCATTCAAATTCGTATGTTCTACTAAATCCCGTCTCGTGGAAACCTTTGTCGAATTCATTATGCAGAATGTTCGTCGTTCTTCGTATTTAGGTGTGCATCATGTGCATGAGAACGTGATTAACAATGTCATTTGACAATTTTGAGTGAACAAACTTGGGATCTTTATGCACATATCAATTTTCAGAAGCTAATTTATAGGCAACGAAAACATTTCCATATCGTGTTAGAATTTTTGTCACGTTTCAACAAAGATTTAATTACCTTTTTTTTTAATGTACAAAAACTTTAAACATCCGAATGACTGTGGATTTTTATGCAGTTACAAATTTTGAGAAGAGATTTCGCAAAAATTTTGATCGTGTTCCAATCAAGACAAGCTAATTTAATTTTAAAGCAAGATAAGCTAATTTATTGGCAACGAAAACATTTCCATATCGTGTTAGAATTTTTGTCACGTTTCAACAAAGATTTAATTACCTTTTTTTTAATGTACAAAAACTTTAAACATCCGAATGACTGTGGATTTTTATGTAGTTACAAATTTTAAGAAGAGATTTCGCAAGAACTTTGATCGTGTACCAATCAAAACAAAGATTTCATTGGTTTGATAGTTGCTTGTATCGAATTTTAAGAAATTAAAAATGTTCTAAAAGCATAAGATTCGCAGTCTATGTAGCACATATTAAACATTCTACTTTTATACGATCTTCAAACGATTACAATCAAGTTAGATTTGTACTGCGCCTAGTTTTGTGTAAATTAAATAAGGTACAGCTGGTGGAAGAATCAACTAAGGCGTTGATCGATGATTTTTCTTCTGGAAGATTCGTACGCGGTCTGCTTAAAAAATATTTTGGGCGTTCTACCTTTCGCCGGAACGTCGATAAATTCGCTCGCAAGTTTTCAGCTACGAGGGAACGTGTATTGCCAGCATTTGGTAGCAGACGGGAAGTTCATTTCAGTTGGCAAAAGACGAAAGCCGACCCCTATTTCTAACAAATACCACAGTTTTCCACTAGTCTGTACAATTTTCCGCGTGACGTACCCCGATTTCCTTTCGGCTTTGTTTCCCTCCGTCATTGTTTCATGAAAGATTTACCCTGCTTAACCCTTCTCAGTCGTGTGTCACCTCTCACGTCACGTTCGCTAGCTGCAAAGCTCTTGATTCTATAAGGATTAATTAGAACTGAACAATTAAGTAATTCCGAAATTTAGTCTTCTGTTATTTCTCTTATTTGCCGTCTACTGGTTCCTAATTTCTGTTCGAGAATGAAATTTAGTCGATTGTCAAAACGCAATCATTTTCCCTTCTACCATTTTTGTTCGTTTTATTGGAAAATCAATTCCTTTTCGAAAAGGTTAGAACACTTGATCGCAAAACGAATTTACTTTCAAAAAGTAAACCAGTTCAATTGACCGTAAAATTTTCTATTCGAAACTGTGTTACGTTATTCTCTGCTGTATTTTTATCTTGGTCGCAAATAAAAGGACTTAAATACTATTTTGTCAGAGGTCGCGATCGTCGTTTAGCGATTGACGCGTTAAGTGCTAAAAATCAAGCCTAGAAATTCTCACAAAATTAAAGTAATTTAACCAGTTAGCTGTGTTTGACGAGTATACTCGTCACGGAGAAGTGGCAGTGTTTGGTGTCGTGACGAGTATACTCGTCGTGCGTAAAAAGTAGTGACCACTGACTATTTAAATTGTAATTTTAGCGAAATCAAAAACATATTCTCAAATTTCAAGATGTTTAGAATATTTTCAGGTCAGGCCAGAATGAAACAAACAAATATGAATAATTATATGAATAATTCACTATATTGATATTCGGCGTGCAACGTGTCATCGTTCCTTGCTTTGCTGAATATCACTCTACAGCAACAATTTCAATTTTTAACCTTTATAAGTATTTGATTTTTCCTACGTTTTTCGTTTATTACGTATATGTAGTATATGTTAACGTTAAGTGAATAAATAAATATTACTAATAAAACTTAATTTTATAAAATAAAACCGTCTTTTTGATCCAATATTTTAACAACGATACTTACTCTGTGCTTGACGAGTATACTCGTCACCGCTTAATTCTCGCGGCACGTATAGGTGAGCACTATGAAAAGGAGGCGCCACAATTAACCGGTTAATTAATGAAATTGAAAGAGAGTTACAATTCATCATAGCAACAAACATCGTTACCATGCCAGTCAAATTCAGTGCGTTCGAATATATTGCAATAAGAATGATCGTTCGTTCACTTTTACACTAATTACAACTTCCACGTTGTTAATGAATTCTTATAAGAGTGGAGAAATTTATCGCGTGTCTACATTAAGTCCATACCAGACAAATTCATCTTATTTCCAGGTAAAATAGATGAAAAACCGTCTACATGTAGTGTTCGAAATCGTGTGCTCACGAGGCCGGCAAGATGTTATTCCGCAACGCGTTAACCAGTTCGTCGCTTATCGTCGGACGGGGTACGTGTTTCCATTCTTTTGACGAGCCTCCGAAAGCTCGGGAATTTAAAGACCTGCGGTTTACTGGCAATGCAGGGCTGCGCAAGAAGCATAAAGTAGGATGCTAGGATTCGAGTTCTTTGACCTCGGTAGGCGCATCGTTCCGCTTTTATCACCGGCCAGGAAGAAGCGTCGCGGTGCTAACGGGCTCTCGAGAATGACAAAGAGATATACGCACGCGACTCTCGCGCGAATGCGGGCTCTTTTTTCCCCCGGGTGCCGGTCGATACCCGGTTCCGGAGATCTCGAGACCAGAGAACGAGTGACAGAGAGATGAATAACGAGTGACAGAGAGATGAATAACGAGAGAGAGAGAGAGAGAGAGAGAAATGAATCTGAAAAAAAGAGAACGAGAGCGACAGAAAAAAAGAGACCAGAGAAAGAAGGAATGAGAAGGAGGCGCAGAGAGAAATTTCCGAGCCCCTTTTATATTTCGTTCGTTGCTTTCTGTTTCAGCTTGGCGTCGCAGCTCTCTGCCATGGAGGCCGAAGAGGATACGAGCAACGAACGAGAGGCCACTTACAAAGTCGGCATGCTGGGTGCGTCGGGGGTGGGCAAGACCGCCCTCACCGCACAGTTCTCCACCAGCGATTACATTTGCGCTTACGACACTTCTCTCGGTAAGCGAGAGGACATTTATTTCCCCTTCCGAGAGATCCTAAACTCGTATCTCGAGCGTTCTTTAATTCCTACGCTGCTACCGAAACGAATTCGCCCACTGGGCTCGTTAACAATACACTTTATCTCGGTAATAACGAAATTCTAGAGAAGGCGAATTGCTGTCAGGTTGAAACTGACGTATAAGACAGAGCCTGTACCATTAATGACACTGCACTTTTTTTTTCCGAGATGCAGTAGCTAAAACTCAAAACTGAATTCGTGATCAGTTAGGTGGTTTAACTTACTTAGATGTTCAGGATACAGTAATTTCTCCCGGAAATGCTAAATTTCGGGTCGCTGCGAATTTTCCTAGTTCTTCCGCATGATCAAAGTCCTTAACCCTTCAATTCAATGTTCAAATTCCCGTCTGAAACTCAGAGATCGTTCCTTTGGTGCGGACAAAGAGAAGAACCATCAAATCAGTCGAAACGACTGGTTTCTGATATTCTCTTGTACAGTTCCTATTATTATAAAAATGTTTCTAGAAGAAATGTTTAGATAAATTTCTTCATCCAAGTTGTATTATCGCGGAAATCGCACGAAGTTTAAATCAATCCAATCTTGCTATTGTTATAAAACAATGTATTGGGTTGGCAACTAAGTAATTGCCGATTTGTTCAATGAAATAAGAAGTTTTTTTTACTTGGAATGAAGTTTAATCTGTAATGTATTTTCCATTTTGTTCGATGACCTTTTGCCGTCTCTCTGACAACTTGAAAATTCCACGCTCGTAGAAAGTCTGATCCTTTTCGGCGAAAAACTGAGTTAAGCGAGATTTTACAGCGTCATCATCATTAAAAGTTTTACCACGAAGGGAGTTGTCCAGGGATCGAAATAAGTGGTAATCCGATGGCGCGAGATCAGGGCTATATGGTGGGTGTAACATCAATTCCCAACCAATATCCATCAATTTTTGCCGAGTGGACAAAGACGTGTGCGGCCTAGCATTGTCCTGCTGGAAAATGACACCTTTACGACTGACCAATTCTGGTCGCTTTTCCTTGACTGCTGCATTCAATTTGTCCAATTGTTAACATTCACGGATAATAAAAAATAACATAATAATAATAATAATAATAATAATAATAATAATAATAATAATAATAATAATAATAATAATAATAATAATAATAATAATAATAATAATAATAATAATAATAATAATAATAATAATAATAATAATAATAATAATAATAATAATAATAATAATAATAATAATAATAATAATAATAATAATAATAATAATAATAATAATAATAATAATAATAATAATAATAATAATAATAATAATAATAATAATAATAATAATAATAATAATAATAATAATAATAATAATAATAATAATAATAATAATAATAATAATAATAATAATAATAATAATAATAATAATAATAATAATAATAATAATAATAATAATAATAATAATAATAATAATAATAATAATAATAATAATAATAATAATAATAATAATAATAATAATAATAATAATAATAATAATAATAATAATAATAATAATAATAATAATAATAATAATAATAATAATAATAATAATAATAATAATAATAATAATAATAATAATAATAATAATAATAATAATAATAATAATAATAATAATAATAATAATAATAATAATAATAATAATAATAATAATAATAATAATAATAATAATAATAATAATAATAATAATAATAATAATAATAATAATAATAATAATAATAATAATAATAATAATAATAATAATAATGATAATAATAATAATAATAATTTTATAATATAACATTTACTGATATTATAAAAATGGGAATGAGAGACATCTATAACTGAAATCGGCAATTACTTAGTTGCCAACCCAATACATTAGTCTTAGTCGTTAAGAGCTCGGTAATTTTAGTGTTAATAAGGAAAGTTCTCTAACAAATCCAAGAGCCAAGTGCCTTAAGCGTTACCGTAGATATGGCAATTCATCACCGAATCGTAAATCTAAAGAAAATATCTCGACGATTCTAGACAGCACGAACTGAATGTTTCTTTCGTCCCTTCGTTCCTTCGCCAATTGCTCGGGCCCGACCCTTTTGTCGCGCGGAATTGCCAATTCCAAGAGTGCCAATAGACCCCGGGAATCCGTTTCGCAGTTGCTGCGTTTGTTTTGAAATCTGGACGAGAGTCGGAAGCAAAATGGTGATCTTCTTCCATAAATTTATAAGCTTCCGTCGTAAATAAAATAAAACTCTGCTACGACCGTGAAACCCCATTTCCGTGGACCCCGGCCGCTAACTAAGTCCTTTTCTCAGCGGCTGATTCGGTTATCTTGGAATTTTTCGACGTCGTTAATGGACCGTAAATTCGTCGTGTTTTCTATTATAGAATACGTCGCGGCACGATGAATAAAGTACTCGGCGGAATAAAGACCCGAGGAAACGTTCCCAGCAATTTTCCTTCTATTTTTAGCATTTTAAAGAACCATTGTGGTAGGGAAAGAGAAGCAGCAGAGAAAATGAGTTGTGCGGTCACATTCAGGAATACCCGCGGAACGTTTTCTAAATAAAGAATCAGCGGAAATTGCAATGTCCGTGCAAAATATTTGCGAGAACATCGCGAAAGTTTATCGAGTCTTCGCATCAAATCGCGAACACCGGAGTCTTTTAAAAACCGCTTCGGAGATACACCGCTATCTCGAAACTGAAGAGTAATATACTTTGCTCTTTGCGTGCTAAACTTCGTTAATGACAATGATCGTTGAACGGAGAATAATTCGATTCACTTGAAGTCAAGGCTGCTAACTAAGTTCGAAATTGTTAACAAAGATCGACAAGATTGAATACGCGCGAAGTTACACGTTTACAATGATCTCGTGATGGTGATCGTTATGCGAGCTGATACAACACCAGTTCATTTCGGTGTATCCTGTCAATTAATACCGAACGACTGAGCAAAGTTTCCGACCAGATAATTCACGATTCTTTCACCGCAAATCGAACGTGTTGCGTTTAGTTATTAAACTTGGCATAATATCCAGCGGAACAAATTTGGACTTCCTGCCGGCTCGATTGCAACAGTTTCGCGATTTCTCGAACATTCGGCGAAGTTTATACTCATATCGTGCAGCAATAGTGCTCGAGTATATTCGAATCCCCTGTTAGGTTCAATATTTGGAAAGTAGCGCAGCGATCGTCCTCAAATTTACCGAAAAATATGCTCCGATTGAAATAGGAATCGCTGCATCGCTAGAACCATTATATGCCGCATTATTGCCCCTTAAACGGGTACAATGATTTTCGCAAGAATAACTGGCGCATTGGAGTCATGATACAATCCCAGATAAAAAAATGGCAAAAGATCCACTTGCGACTCCAGTTAAGGGTTGTACATAGAATTGACCGCAAGTGCAGAGTGCTTTTCAACCACTTAGTTGTTTTTGACGAGTATAATCGTCATGAAGAAATGGCAACATTTTGTGTCACGAATAGTATACTCGTCAAGAAGCTAAGCAAATAAATAAATGTTAGCAACAAAATTTAAAAAAAATAGAACAGGCATTTCATTGCAGCTTAATTCGATGTTACAATCGCCACAGCTACATTTTTCAAAGAGATCGCAAGAGCTAAATGATTAATGAACTTACTGCGCCGAAAAATTTGCAAGATCGTTTAAAATATTATCATTAAAATATCATGTGAAGTATCACTTTCATCCAAAGAAACCTTTTGCATTCTACCATAATGATATGGAAGTACAGTAATTTCTCTCAGAAATGACTATAGTAAGTTCTCCCTAATTGAAGCTCAGATTACAGTAATTTCTCCCGAATTCGCGCGCAGATTACGCACAAAAGTAGCCAATTTGTGAAGAGCAGATACGATTGTTCGAGTATTGCGGCTCGTTTTTATAGTTACCGATTATCAACAACTATAAAAAATGAGACGCAAAGTTCGAATGATCGTATCTCCGCTTTCCAAATTGTCCATTTCTGTATGTAATTTGAGCGCGAATTAGGGAGAAATTACTGTATACACCAAAATGAACAATTTGGGAAGAGGAGATACGATTGTTCGAGCCTTGCGGCTCGTTTCTATAATTATCGATTGCCAACAACTATAATAATGAGACGCAAGCTTCGAATAATCGTACCTCCTCTTACCAAATTGTCCATTTCTGTGCACAATCTGAGTGTCAATCAGGGAGAATTTACTGCAATTTGAATAGGATCGACCAACGCCAGCCTGCCATTGCGGATTGACTTGACTAAGGAACACGTCGGGCGAAATCGTCGAATAATACATGACGACCTTTAGATCGCGCAACCATCAAGTATCCTTCGATGAACCGTGGACCAATGATTAGCGAGGTGTGCATATTTCAGCGTCTTGAAGCTTGCTACCACGTGGCAGGCTAGTGCGCTAATTAGCTTACACTACCGTAGTACGTTCCAAGATACTGAAATATGCATATCGCAGCAGGATTATGGATTCGACGAACCAGGGTTCAAACGGAAACAATCGAATGCTGTCCGGAAAGGTGAAGGGTCGATACACATCTACGTGCTAGGCTCGGGTCGTGCTAGCAGCGTGCTGGATTGAGAGTGTTCACATTAGGTGTGCGAGCATGGTGTCAGGCAGGACCAATGTCCTCGAGATTGAAGCGCCTTAGACCGAGATTTGAAGTTCAACTTTATCTTTTTCGGATTATATCGTAATCGATCATATATCATTCTTCGGATTCCAAAGGTCGCCGTGAAGGTTTCAGTGGGTCGAAACCCATACTATACCCTGTCCGTTCGCTTCAGGCGGGCCGGGGGTGTCTGACGAGCAGATTTCCTCCACGTAAGGAAAAAAGGAAGGGTTATGTCAGGGTCATATCAGGGTTATGTCAGGATTATGTCAATTATGTTAGGGGTTATGTCAGGGGTTATGCTAAAGTTATGTCAGGGTTATGTCAAGATTATGCCAAAGTTATGTCAAAG